TAACAGCGACTCGCGGGCAGCAGCAGGAAGGAAGGAGTCGTTATCTACCTACATGCTTAGACNCGACACCCGTACAGACAGCCATTTTCGAAGAGTAGGGCACAGATAAGGGAGAAGGCCAACAACATAAAACACACAGAACATCGCACAGCAGTACTCCACATACACCGCCACGACACATCGCCCAGCAGGCGCTTCCTGTAACAGCGACTCGCGGGCAGCAGCAGGAAGGAAGGAGTCGTTATCTACCTACATACTTACACGTGACTATAGTACTTGCTGTACTTGTCTGTTGCTCGGCTGAATAGGTGGCAGTTATTTCACTAACATGTCAGTGTATGACCTGCAGCACAGCAGGGGCTGTTGAAACGTATCTACATGCATATCTACCACGGCCAGCAAAGCTCTCCTTTCTCTCTTCGCTTCGTGCTCCATATAGATCTACAACACCCGCCCCTTTCATACGCAAGCACTCACTTGGTTGCGGTATTTGTTCCCTGCGGTTGAGCCCGATCGTGCTTGCACGTCCTGGGTCTTCACGGCAGCTAAGATGTGGGCGTGGTACACGCCGCACAGACCCGGGTGTTCGGCAGCAGCTACCTTGGCAGCTGAACGGGCCATGCTGGGCATGGGCTCGGGCTCGGTCAAGTGATCGCAATACTCCCCTCCCACGGCGGCGGCAATTTCGAAGGCGAAAGCACGCGCCAGATTGTTGTTTGTGCCATCTTCCGATGGTGGGTTGATGGCGATCAAAGACACCAACTGATCGTGGCAGGCCGTGTGTTGCCGGCCTTGTACGCCTCGACGTCGGGTGCTGGCAATTCCATAGCTTGCTCCGTAGCTTGGGGCGGTGTAAGGTGCTACTGCTGCTGTAGCTCGTGTGCTTTGTGTTTACAGGAGCTCTAGAGAGGTAGCAGGGCTCACATTGGGTGGGGACAGAGAAGTACAAGAAGTACCTGTACTAGCTATGGGTCTTCAATGATCATTTTGCGCCTTTTGACTGATAGGTGGGGAATATGCTGAAAATAGAGTTGCTGAGGCACCTTGACGAGTGATCATTGCAAAGTCTACAAGGCTAACCTGCCCTACCCGCCGCACCGCGACCACGCACCAACCCTTCTATGACCCAATATTCGGCCAGCACCCTGTCGCGGGCTACCCTCATGGCCTACAGGTGGAGATAGCTGTTGCGTGTGGAGAAGTACAGCGGGCTGTTTTGCTGTACTTCTCGCTCTCTCCGTCTCGCTCTCACCCCTCTTTTTTTTGGGGGGGTTTCAGAAAAAAGAAATATGAATCGAAACGGAACATGGGGATGACGGACCACGCTTTCGGCCGGCGACTAGCCTAGACCCAAAAGGGTTAACATTAGCCGGCAGCGGAAGGAGGAAAGTCCAAGTAGACACATATTTATCTCATTCTTGTGAAACAAAAAAGCAACGAGTGTATTTCGGCGTCGCACCGAGGAAAACCAGTACATNATAGCAAGAAAAGGGTACACAAGCCCGAGGAGGTACACCTGCAATCCCTGCAGCACGTTTGCGTGCTCACAACTGAACTACACGCCTACACACTATTACTAGACCCCGAGTGGGGGGAGTTTTTTCCGCGCGCACCATCACAACAGCATAACCCGTGCTGCGGAAAGTACGTGCAGTAGGCTGGGTCGTGCGCCCCCCGTGAATATGTGTTGCTTTTGTTTTGGTACACACACCCGAAATGTTGTTGATGCGATGTTGTTGATGCGAATCGTTGTTGTCAGCACTTCGTATGCGTTAGTAAATGAAGAAGTAGAAAATAATGCCCTACCACTCAAAACACAGCAGCAGCAGAATATTTGAACTAGCACGCGAGTTGTCGTCGATCGCGAGCCCCTCCTCACTACGCCCTGTCGTGGTCTGCAAACCACACGCGAACACCCTCTGTGATATGCAGATAGTGAAAGCCGCGAGCTGTAGAGGAGGAGATGCGTGGTAGCTGGTCTGAACACGTGCCAAAGTTGGCCACTCGGTGTGGACGAGGNATCGGCACCGAACGCAGCGACGCGGGCACGAAATGAGAAACGCTTGGGTGAGGAATGATGGCCTTGTTACGCTACAGCTTGTGCACTTTTCCGCACCGAAAACGATCCTCAAGCGGCTTGTTTATCGGTGCAAAGGTGGTGCGAACACACCAGCCGGTTAGCGCGGTCGATGCTAATAATAAAAGCACACACACGGACATCAATTTGAGAACAGTAATTAGGGGTCGGGCTGACAGGCGGTGTTATTCAACGTGCGCAGAACCCAGGCGGGGAAACAAAAGGACCCATCTAAAACAGTTTTTTTGCGAAAAAAAACTCCGCTATCGCTCCGTTTTTATTTTCGCACGCGTGCTTCGCGCGCGGAAAAAACTCCTAAAATAACTGTCCCAGCGCAGACCAAAAAAAGCTACCCTTGGGGCGACTTTTCCCTCCACGTAAAGAGTTCCCTGAAACTCCCCCCGCGGCTTGGCTCTACGGCTCTGTTGAGTTTCATGAGTAGTTACGAATGAACGGTCTTCGAAAGAAGGTACCTCGTCTCACGGTAATCGCCGCCCCTTCCCTTCGCGCACAAATAGGATCGAACGTCCTGCAAGCGAGAGATACCCTGACCCTCAGCGAGGTTTTGGCGGCATCAGATGGACCGCCGGTAGATGGGAGAAATCTATCCATATCAACACCCAGTTACATGCAGCTGCAGCAGCAGACCGCTCGCTACATCTGCTTTCTGTGCGTCGCTACTTTTGTACTCACTGGTTGTGGTGCGTGGTGCATGAAAGAGCGGCCAGCAGGGGCACAATAACGGGGGTACGCGGCAGTAGGTATAACCCGACATAGTAATTCTACCGGGCCCCTGGTGCTCACAGCAGCGAAACAAGTTTCCTTAAAGCGGGGAGTTTCTATTATAACCCGAGCATCCTTAAAGCGGGTTCGACTACTGTATACCCAGAGACCAGAGACACATAAATCATACGCTGTGGTCTTGCGCCTTACAACTGACTACAACTGTATCTACTATCAAACATGTTTTTCGAATGGATCCAAACGTATTCCAAGCTCGAACTTGGGTCTCTCCAGACCGAATTTTTGTTTCTCGAGGCATTTTCATTTACACAGCAGGAGTAGTAGCCCATCGCCCGACCTGGTCTCAAAAGCCGATCTCGAGCTACATACGCCCCGGTGGTCTAGTGGGTAGCCTCGCAACCTGCTAAGGGCCAGGTCATGGGTTCGAGTCCCGGCAGAGAGAGTTTTTTTCTCACTAAATAAACCCTGGTCTAGGATGAAAGCGACGCGCTGCAAAGCTCGTTTGTTTGTTGGTAAACCATAATCGACTTCGTAAGTCGCGAGGGAAGGGATTGCTGTACCCTTCTCGCGATAAAAATACCTCAGGCATGAACCGCAGGAGGGGGTCCAACCCCCCCCTCCTATGTGACCCCGGTTGGGTCGTCTAGCTAGTAGAAGTGGAGGATAGGGGCCAGAGGGGCAGACGACAGAGTCCAATGATGGGAGAAAAACAAACAAAAAACAACAAAAAAAACAACATACAACGCACGACGTGCGACAACCGAAGCATGACTAAGTAGTAGGGCATCGCTAACATTCACGACGCCTCCCCGACTTTATTATGCAGCGGCTTCTGTTGAGAAGCACGACAAGCGGACAAAAAGAGGCATTGCTTCGCTCTGTTGTGCGGCGGTTGAATAATAGATAAGACATGAGGAGGGCAGAAGGGTCCTGTTCGCTTGTTGATCACTGATGATTTGGATTAGAAATGTGGGTCACAACTCTTCTACGAACCCAGCCTACTACGTCTTTCACCACAACAAATAAATAAATCCGACAACCTCGGAGAACGTCCCCCACGTTCTCCTCGGTCGGAGAGATTGTCTCTTGGAGCGATCGATGTCGATGTCGCCAACGCCCCGAGCCACGAGGAAGCGTGCAACGTTACGAGGGACCTAAATAAAGCCGTCTTCCATGAGACTTCCTCGGGTCGTTGACCGTGACTTTTGTCCTAGAGGGATGCGAGGGCGTGCCCTCGCACACCTCTCACTCTTCATTTCTATCTCCCATGTCTCCATTTCACCTCGAGATTCTGCCTCTTTACCGAGCATCACAAACTATCTGTCCGGTGATCTTATGTAAAGGATATGAACGCGAGGTGCAACCTGGGAGATAGCCCGCACTATCTTTTGTACTTTCCTACACATTCAAATCACACAACACGTATACACCGCCCCATATCTGTGACCGTTGCCTGAGTGGAACGCCTGTAGATACAGCGTTGGAGATTTGCACCTCCTTGCGATGTCTTGGATTTCAAACCCTTACTGGCGTCAGCGGCAGGTACATGTAGAGAGAAAAAAAAAAGAACGTCATCTACATCTGACTGTCCCCGCCGCGAGCGGAAATCAGAGTTTGGTGGAACACCCGACCCGGTCATCGAAAAAAAAAATAACATCAACAATCACCTCCGGGGGGTAATCAACGTCACCTCCACCCTGGCGCGCCCCTACATTGCGCGTGTTGGTCGTGAAAGCATGGCCGCGGAGGTGGGTTGACTGGGGCTGGATGTGGATAGTTCCTTTGACACTTTATATCTCCAGAGACGCGGTCTGAAACTCTGGAACGGCGCCATATATATTGGGGTCATGATTACGTCGCTGCCTCTTGTACCATCCACGACGAATTCGCAGCTCCGCCATGTCGCTTGCTTGCCCTAGGTTGGAGAAGGGCGCCATGCAGTCTCGAAGATCGCACTTGGTAGATCGCGCACGTTCCATATCCGGATTGTTCCTCTCATCACGTTGTGTACAGCTTCAATGCGCGTCCTTTGAAGTGTGTCCACTCCACCTCGCTCGTTCCATGGATAGCGGTAGAACAGCTGTGTGAGCAACCAAAGTTGTTTGAAGCCAACGACAGCAGTAACTGCTTACGACCATGATATACGTTTGAACACTCTTTCGTTTGTGGGGTGGTTTGTGAAGGCAGTAGCTTTTGATATCTGTCGATGGCTAGAAACGTAAAAAATCCACAGCAGGAGTCATATGTAGAGGTACAAAAGTTGTGGGTAGGTGTGAAGGTGATGAAGGATGCAAGGATGCCGCCGATACACCTCCTGCGGACCTGCCCTGCACGACCTGTCTGCTCCAACTCTCCCGGTAGGTCATCTCTTTATCTAGCGACAGCGAGGGCGACGAACCAGCGCCGTTTGTGGATGCTTCGTTAGTGGCGGCTTGGCAGCAGCAGCATCCCAACGGGGCGGGGGCGTCAGCGTTTCAGGTGTGGAGTTGAGATCGGAGAGGATCGTTCGTTTTCCACGTACATTCCAAGATTGCTGAAGAAGTAAATGGGGGTTAAAGCCACATGGCATGTAGACCACTCTATTCTTCGCCCCGCTGAGGACACGCTCTACCCGTACCGCTGATGGACGACTGCTGTGTTTTCCGACCATCTGCCTCTTCGGAACTTCGTTAGAAAAAAACACCGTATTCACAAGATCACAGAATAGATGTACAGGATATGCCACCATTGAAGAACCTCTTGCCTCGGGCAACCGTCGCCCCTTGTTTCTTTTTTCTTACCAGCTTCAGTGTACAGCAGTAGTTAGCGCCCGCAATTAAGAAACGCTTATTTCAGGTCCAGCCTCGACTTCTTATTGTGGGATATAAACTCAGCGTTTGTGGTTCAATTTCTTAAGTCAAGTTTCTTATTTTCGTGCCGCCAAATCCTGCCGAGTTTCTTCGATCGGCAATTTCTTTTTTTCTCTGCTCACGAGAGCTGGCGGAGAGCACCATCAAAACCGTGCATCAGACAGCATATCGTGGTTCGCAGCCTGTCTGGTGTGCTGTGCCAGGGCCGGAGCGCCAGAGAGCGCCAGAGCCCGCAGGGGGCCGAAGGGGGCGCCGCAAAAAACGCACACGCCCCCTTCGTCGTATAACTAATAACGCACTTGGGAGGGGGGGG